GATCCAATAATAATTATATGATCAGGTATAGCAATCACCAGCAATCATATGCTTTTGCTAGCAAGTAAGTATTAATTGTGCATGGTTTAACATTTATTCTGTGACATTGTCTGTGCCTATTCTAGTACTTTGTGAAGAAAAATTAATTTCAAAATAGAAAACTGTCAGCATGATGGTAATGATGATGATCTATTGGAAAATATAGGGATAGATTTATTGATGAGGGTGTATAATTGTTGAATCTTTTGGGGAAGGTGAAATCCAAAATGAGCCGGACAAGTAAATCTAAACTAATGAGTTGAAGAAGTAAGGGACTTGTTTAATAGCACACAAAATATCATCACTGGCTTAATTTCATGTCAATATTCATTCATGTTCATTCCTGCACACATCTTTGTGTCCATGTAGAAGCCTAATTAAAGACTGGTTGCAATTATCAGATAAGACTGAATCAGAAGCAGGTACTTTATAAAATGATATCCCAATGTGAGATTTATTTGGGGAAAAGATTGTGCCCTGAAGCCTTCCTCTTCTTCTTTGTTGAACAATGCTTTACCAAAAGCAGTATATTTGCCATATGTAGCATCTACAAGTTAAACTAAACAATTCAGCCAATTTTGCTATGGCGGTTGGATGCTTACTATAACAAGGGATGTTATGTGAATCAGGTAATTTCACATTTATAATTCCCCTAAATTACCCACCTTCTTACTGATTTTATCCAGACTATTTTCTCCCAAGAAAATGATTTTATGTATGATTGTTTGTGGAAATGTTTTCAAGAATTAAGTATGACAGAAAACAAGAGAAATAGTCACTTTGATTCATGCCAGTTGAACATTTCAACTCTTTATGAAACATGTATCACTGTATTTTTCGGAGTATAAGACGCACCTTTTTCCCTCAAAAAAGAGGCTGAAAATCTGGATGTGTCTAATACACTGAATACAGCATTTTTTTCCCTCACGAAACCCCACCCCCTTTACCAAAATGGCCGTGCATAGCCTTTAGGAGCCTTGCAGAGTACTCCTGGGGGCTGGGGAGAGCAGAAATGAGCGAAAAATGCGCTGTTTTTTGCTCAATTTTGCCGCCCCCCCCCTGAGCCCCGAGGAGCACTCTATATAAACCTCCTAAAGGCTATGCACGGCCATTTTGGTAAAGGGGGTGGGATTTCGTGAGGCAAAAAAATGCTGTATTCAGTGTATAAGACACATCCAGATTTTCAGCCTCTTTTTTGAGGGAAAAAGGTGCGTCTTATACTCCGAAAAATACAGTGATACATGTTTCATAAAGAGT